AAAATGCTACAAAATCTTGGATCGATGTAAAAAAAGTTTTCAGAAAAACTGTAGTGGCTGCTATAACCTGACTGGGAATACGCACCAGAATACGCAGTAAAAGCTTTAAACTGGCCTTATTTATGTCCCTGGGTTCAGTATTCAATAAATGAATCTTGATTTCTGTATCGTTTATATAGATTTTTATTGTTGTTTATATTGTACGTTATATTAGAATTACTTCAATGATACTTAAAATGAGAACTTTAGTTTAAAAGATGACAAATAATTCTTTTTTTTTTTATTCACATTTTATATAAAGTTTGTAAAACACAAAAACAACAGCAAAAAAGCCATTATACCCTAAATCATTAAAACATCTTTAGTGGCATTATTATGACCAAACTTGTAAATGTAAATTGAACTGTTTTTTTTTTATTGAGGAGGTAAGTGAGACAGTTTGCAATCAGAACAAAACAATGTACAATAAGAAAAAAAAAATCAACTGCAGTCTCTTATTTTTAGTGCATGATATCTAATTACGGTATCTCTTCTTAAGGTTAAATACTCATTCCATTGGCAGATCATCTTATTTTCCAGCTCATATTAAGGGTAAACACACTTACTTTAAGACATTTTTATAATAAGTGTATTTACACATTTTTTTAAACATTTTTGCAGTGTGGGCAAACAGCCACCTTAGCGTTTTTGCATCACCCCAGTGCTAGTCACAGTATATGCTATTATGTAGTTATAACTGCTGTTAAAAAATATGCTTTACCTTCATTTCTATTTGTTTAGTAACATTAACCATTTTAATTTATCATCTCATTGAAGGGAAAAACATGCACATGTACATGTCCCCCCCCAGTATTTGACTGAGCTTCTCCAAATCCAGAGAAGTTAAGTCAAGATCCTCCTATCAGTTGCTACTAGTCATGCCTAAAACCAGACTTAAAACCAAAGGTGATGGTGCCTTTATGGCAGTGGCAACAAGACTCTGGAATAACTTGCCTCGGCATATTCGATCAGCCGGCTCCTTTGAGGTTTTTAAATCCTCTCTAAAAGCACACTTCTTTTCCCTTGCTTTTAATCAAGTCTAAGTGGACATTTGGCAAAATTTTACTTTTGAATTTTATTTTATTTTAACATGTATTTTAATTGAAACATTTCTCCTACTATAATTTATCTCCATTCAATTTTTCTTTTTGTAATGTGTTTAAGTATTTTAGCCTCCAGTTTTTTATCTTATGTTGCTTAACTTTGATTCCTGTACAGCACTTTGGTCAACCCTGGTTGTTTTAAATATGCTTATAAATAAAGTTTGAGTTGAGTTGAGAGTTGATGTATATCCATTCAGGCTTCAAGGGGTTAAAACTGGACCTTGTCCAGTGTTCTAGAAACACATCCCTTCAGTGCCTCCTCTTTTCCTTCCCTCCCCTCCCTTAACACTCCCTTCTAACCTCCCTGCTCCATCCAGTCCCTCCCTCAGTCTGCATTCAGATGCTCCTCCTGTCAGATCCTCTCCTTCTCTGGACTGCTGCCTCTCTGTAAACTACAGGAACCATGTTGCTCCACGGACTTCTGGCTCTGCTGGGACTCCTTATGTTCTGCAAAGGTGAGAAACCCCAACACTGCAAACACAGTTCCTCCTCTGCACAACCCTGCAGCTTTTAGGCTGATCTTACCTCCATTCAGGGAGAAAACTAACTGTTGAACTTATAAATAGAGATAAGTAGAGCATGTCGACGAGGCTTAGTGGGAACAACCGTTTATTTTGGGCCTCTCCATCTGTTTGGTGGGAATCAGATGATTGTGTTGGTGTCTGGAGGCTGCAGGTCAGACTCAGTCTGCTCTCTGTCTGCTGTGGATTGGACCCCTGTCCCACCTTTGACCCCAGCCTCACTGTTTAACAGGTAGCTGTAATCAGCGGCTGTTTGCATGAAAGGGCAGGTGGCGACGGGATGAGGTGTTTTTTTATAGCTGCTTGATCCTATTGAGGCCAGTGTCGCACTTCTGTGTTCTACATGTAGAGCAGGTAGAACCAAATGTCCCCATCATCTAAGGCTAAACGATCCAGCAGAGTCGTTGCGTCTCTTCTAGGTGTAATACGGTAGAATAGATCTTCACACAAACCCACAAAGATAAACCAGCAGCAACAATAATTTGAATTGCTTGAATTTGAAGTGACTTAATGCAGACACTAAAGTGGAAGATAAAAGTCCAACGCAGTCTCAATTAAACATCCGATAGTGTGATCCAATTAAGGAAAATTATTCCTGTTTAGAACCAGGAAGCTAAAACTGAGGATTACTAAGGATGTCAGGAGGTGTTCAATTTGCTTGGATTTGATGAGTGGCGTAAGGATCAATTTAATCATGTTAAACCTAAAGGCCAACGAACTTCTGGAGCTAAGAGTTCAGATGCAAAAGTAACTAACAACAGGAACCAAAAACAAATGTTTCTCTGCATTTCAGTGATTTAATGTGATAAAAGAAGTTATAGAAGTGGAGAAAATTCCTTTCTGACTGCATTTTACACATGGTTATTGATAGGCAGCAGCCATTTTGAATCTTAGGTTGGATTAAATGTGAAAACCTTAACTTTGCAATTCAACCTTAAATGTTTCTTCTTTTATTCCAACTTGACACTTGGACTTAGAATTTAACATTTTAGGCCTCTAGTTTCCTGTTGGAAAACCAGTTAAACCCTTTCCATGTTGTTAATTTTGTTCCATTATTGTTGCGCGCAAAGACCATCTTTTGGAAATGGAAATAAAAAATGTGCAATCCAGAAATAAAAGCTTGAAAAATCTGAAATCTTTCCTTTATTAACTGTGTTTGAGTAGTTTGAGCTTGAAAGGTGGGCTTTTCATTTATTTATATGTTCTTACAGATTTTAAATTATCAAATTAGATTTGTTTTAATCTTTCTTTTACAGATTGAGTTTTATGAAATGCAGTTTGAACTATTTTCCAATCACATTTTGTAAAACACATTCTTTACATTTCAAGCCCAATATAAACGCTTGCTCTTAAGTAAAATGAATAGAATAGAAATTGAAATCTGTGTTTGTTCCTCCCCCTAGAGGAAAGCCCGCCCCCAGAACTGATGAGAATGGGATCTCTGAAAAACTATTTGAAAGGAATGCAATTCTTAAAACTCGGACTTAGGAAGAGAAATTTGAAAAATTTAATTCTAACAAAAAAAAGTGAACAATGAAAAAAAAATGTAAATGCAAATGACAGAAAAATATAAACAAAATATATAATCTAAGAAGTTAGTCTCAAAACTTTTTTGTGACATTTTCTAAAGTTTCATTTCTGGATTATATTCTTTTTTTTTTTTTATTTCCATTTACCAAACGTGTTCATTAGTTGCAAAAATAATGGTACAAAGTTCACGCCATACTTTTCTCTCTTTTTAATTTATTCAAACAGTATCGAGTATGTGTCACAAATTTTAAAATTACAAAGTTTTAAAAGCGTAAAGCAATGTTTATTTCTCCAGATTTGACTAATTCATGGGTAGATTGATAAGTGGACTGACGGTTGGGACAGAAGGGAATCAAGGACATGTCTGACGTCCTACTTTTAGCTCCACTGCATTTCCCCTCTTAGGATTCATTCATTATGCACAAAATGTTAGAAATAAATAGATTTCAAACTGAAAAAAAAAATTTTTTTTTCCTCTTCCAAACAGCAAAAGTTGACAATAGAAATGTATTTCTACAAATCAAAAACACCAAACAGATGAGGGTTTAGAGAGAATTAGGAAGAATTGCAGAATAAACAGTTTTATCGCTGCACTACGGCTGTCTATGTTTAACAGCAATGTTGGATATGAGTTTGGATTCCATTGGGAAACCTTCAAACCTCCAGCTTCATTAGCTTTTTAATGTTTGTATATTGTTGTTTGTTTGAGTTTTGGACCTCCATATGGAAACAGATGGTACCATCAGCCTTTAAAAACGCTTTTCCTTGTCTGCCAGTGGAAGATGTTGAGGCCTGGCTGACAATAGTGAGGCTTGGAGCATAGCAGGAATAATAGACAGGAGATAATCAAACACAGACCTGACTAACTCAGATTAGGACAAATATGACAGAAACATTCAGGGATTAAATTCGTTCAGGAAAAGGAAAGCAAAATTAATTAATTTAGTATTTCTTTTAAAATTAATCTAAATTTGTTTCTTCATTTGCATCCTATATTTTACCTTGGTGGCCAGAACAATCTCTTTCCCATCTTTAAGCTAAACTTTTAGTTTTCTTCTGCTTTTTATGGAGCAACTTAAAATCAAAGCGATGGCTTCATGAAATGTGAATTCTTCAGGATAGCACTGAACAATCACTAATGATAAAACTAAACTAGTGATCCATCAATTAAGGCCTAAAGGAATAAAGCTGAGGTCCTAAAGGAAACAAAACTATCAACTAAAATCATAATTTTATTTTGGTTTTTACCCAAATCAGAAACAGACAGAAAATTTCAAAGAATTGTTATTTGTATCCTGATTTTTTGTTGTTCTTTTTTCTTTTTTTATTCTAAACTCAGTTTCCTGTTGATCTTCTGTAAAACCTGAAACATTATAATGAACACATATACTATAATGAACAAATGCTCACTGGATTTTATATGTCCTTTATTCTCTATATATTTAAGTAATTACATTTTTTTGTCTTTGTAATAATGGCCACACATTGGAGCTCTCTGGTGTTGCATGAAGACAGCCTCTGTTTATCGGATCAGTAATCCTGAGATCATCAGGGACTCCCTGGCTTCCCTGCTCACTAAATAGATAATGCCAGGACTCAATTAAATCCAATTAAGCCAGATGTAATTCCTTATCCAAACGAAGGCTTTAATATTTGTCAGATTCCATTGCAATTTTTTATAAGTCGTTACTGAATGTGGAGGCTACTGACTGGTAGAGTAGGATGAATTTGTTTTGAACAATAATGGAGCACATTTCACTCCATAAGAGGCCACCATGCCTCAAGCTCTGATTTTTTTTTCACTTTGTTACCAGAAGCAGAAAATAGACCAATATTCAAACATTCAGACTTATAATAGCTATTAGATGTGATTCAGAAACTAACTGGTTGTGCAGCTTAATTTCTAAACTGTTCTTGGTAAATCATTCTGTTCATTTATATATTTTTTGTGCCCCAGCGTCTCTTGTGTTCCTTTTTCATTTATTATAAAATAATAAAGAAGTCTTTAAAAACTTTGTCCATGTTTAATGAACATCTAAACCTCTTTTAGTGAAGGTTTTCTGCTTTTAGTACAGTCTTAGAGCGCCCCCTTGTGGTCTAAAAGGTTTTAGCTGAAAGATTAATAAGGCAGGTTTCAGCTCCACCTTTCGTGGATAGTTTAAGGATTTGGCATGCTGTGGTGAGCTAATCTCCATCTGTGCAGGGCTGGAAAAGCTGCAGATCACAGTAAGCGATGTTTGGTATTTATTTCTGTAAATGTTGTTTTTTCAGACAAGGGTGAAATAAGATTATGAAGATGAAATACAAGACCAAAAGAAAAATAATTTGAATATTGAACATGTAATGTGTTAGTGTGACACCTACTTTTAATCTAAATACTACGGTCCCATCTGGAGTCAATTCAATTCAGTTTATTTCTATAGCGCCAATTTAACAACACATGTCATCTCAAGGCACTTTACAATCCAACCAGATCATCCAGTCAAATTGATTAAAGGTTTTCTATCTAAGGAAAACCAGTTGATTGCATCGACTCATTTACTTGAAGGAAATCCCTCACACTAAGCATGCTTGTAGCGACAGTGGAGAGAAAAAAACTCAGTTTTAACAGGAAGTAACTTCCAGCAGAACCAGGTTCAGTGTGAGCGGCCATCTGCTGAGGCCGACTGGGGTTCAAGGAGACAGAAGCAAAAAAGGCAACTGTCAACCAGCTCCACAGGCGGCCCTATCCAGTAAACACACAGCCAGGCAGACGAGCTCTGAGCCAGCTCCTTTGTCAGATGATGAAGAGAGCACATCCAGTTAGTCACAGTCAGAGAAACAAGACTAAACTGAAAAACAGGCCAATCTCCAACATCTATAAACAAAGGTGTAAATGGCAGCAGCACAGCTGATATTTCTCTCCAGGATGGTGCCACAGCCAAACAGGAGTCAAATGTCTTCTATGATGTGTGTCCAGGTCAGACAGAGAGCGGGACAGAGGAGGCCTGCGACAACTTTACAGACCTGGACCTTTCCCACTGCTTCATGGGAACCAGTCTTTACGTCCGCCTGCTGCTCTACACCCGCTCTAACCTGGACTGTGGCAGAGAGCTCAACCACCACCACCTGTCCTCCCAGCCGCTGCTGGACCTCCGCCGTCCCACCGCCTTCGTCATCCATGGCTACAGGCCCACCGGAGCGCCCCCTATCTGGATCAACCACATAGTGCACCTGCTGGCCGAGCAGGAGGACATGAACATCATCGTGGTGGACTGGAACAGAGGGGCAGCCAACCTCAACTACTTCACTGCTGTGACTTACACCAGAGAGGCCGCTCTGAACCTGACGGGCTTCATCAAGACTATGCAGGTGAGCAGAGGTGGGTAGAATACCCAAAAACCAAAAACTGAACTCAAGTAAGACCAGCACTACTACATTTTGTTACTCAAGTTATAGTAAAAGTAGTCATTCAAGTCAAGTCAAGTCAGATTTTATTGTCACTTTCTTCATATTTACAAGACATACAAGGGAAATTAAATTACGTTTTCTCTCTAGAAATATACAAGAAATATACAAGACTGACATTTACAGACTGACATAAAGTGCGGGACATGACAGGTAACAGTGATAGACTGGTAACCACCAACAAGTGGTCAATAATAAATACAGTACAAATAACATATGACATTTAATGTTAACATTCAATATTTAACATTGAACATGTAAAAGAAGATAAGATAAATATAAAGTATAGACATTATAATAAAAGCAATAAAAACAGCAGCAATAGTATATTCAGGTAAAAAAAAAATTCGGTAAAAAAGCTACTTGAGCACTGAGTAACTGTTGGATAACAACATCAGATTTAATGTTAATAAATGATCAATCAATCAATCAGTCAACTTTATTGTCAACTACAATTTACATTGCAATCAAGATTTCAGCTTCAGGAAAAAGCGTTCATGAAAAAATATCCATACATTGGGGTGGGGTGGGGGGGCTGAGAGGGGGAATGGTTTTACTGAGGCCTTGTGTGCCGCAGAAAGCTGGCTTTGGCGCGTTCTTATGGCTTCCCAGGTTTCCACCGTGAGACGGTTACCTATAGTGCTTCCTTTATCTCTGTGGAAAGATAGGAGCCACATTGGGGAAGAGAGGGGAACAAACGCATATTTTATACTTTATCCTTGACACGATACAGTTTGAGATATCAAAAAAACCTCAGCATAAGAAAAGCACATGTAACACGAGACATTTCAGCAGAGGGTCACATCGCAGGCGGTCACATGAAGTCAATCTGACATTTGAGACATTAGTTGTGTGTGTATGATGAGTGCTTTCAACATGTCCATGAACGCTGTCCACAGGCCATTGTCCTTGATGAGATGGAAGTTTATCAACAGTTCTGGGCGCATCTACAGATGTTTGCGGGTAGGGAAGGGGGCGAGCAGTTCTTCTGTGCCCTTTCACCATAACATCCAGGGGAGTTTTTTTTATAAGAGGGGAGGCCGAATCCAGAATAACACTTGTTTTGAGGGCATGTTGCACAGGAGTTTTCCATCAGCCTTGAGTCTTTTCTTGTTGGTCTACATGGCGAGTCTAATATTCCAAATTTGGTTGGGCTTTTCCGCCTTGAAGCAAGCGTGCACATCCAAGATGTTATCCCATCTCATCTTTGAGTTCAACCACTGCAGCCAGCCTGCGTTCAATCGCACCTAGCATACAGTTCTTCTCCCGATCTTGTTCGTTCACAGCCTTTGTGATGGCGTCAACCGCTGCCGGCAGCCTGATCAATGCCCAAATTGCCGCCGACATCCTCTGTAATGTAGATTCATCAGGTATCCTCCAAATCCAAACAGGAGAAATCAGAGTATCATAAAACCAAAAATCCATACATTTTCGGTATCCTCCATTGACAGCATTGTATAACACACCATCCTCCAAGCCTTCCAGGAGTCCATGGTGTCTCCCACAAAGTCCCAGCTGGACAGGACGGGTCCCCTTTTCCCTGTCTTACAGTTGAATAAATTTGATCAATTGCATTGAGAGACCAGCTGACCAGATCCATTGTTTGAGTTCAGGGGATATGAAGAGAGAGCTCAGAAAAAACAAGAAACAACAAAGCAGGGACAGGTAGGGAGGTGCAGGAGCAGCAGGAAAATGTGACCACCTCCTTCGAGAGTCAGTACAGAATTATGCTGGCAAACAGACTTTATGTGCAAGTTCTGGCATTTTAAAGACTCAAATGCCTAAAGAATACTGTAAGGTTGGGTGGGAGTTTGAAGAGGACCCAAATGCAGGGACTGAACAGAGGTGGTTTCTTGCAAGTTTAATAACAAAGGTGATAACTGAAGCAGAATCCAAACTAACAAAATCCACAACGTCCAAAATATACCTAAATCTAGAAAAAAACTTACATGAAGGGGGGATAAAATGACAATGAACCAGGAACAGTAACTGAACAAGAGGAGAGTATACGGGAGACAGAAACAAAAACCAGGCTAATCAGCAGATTGGGAGCAGGTGTGGACAGAGGAGTCTAGAGGGGAGCTAGGAGAAGGAGACTGTAAAAAGATGGCAACAGATGGCAAACAAGAAGAACTCAAATACAATCAAAATTCACTAGAATAAAACAAGATGGAAATAAAACCAATAAAAAATCAGAGATAAAACTTAAACAGAACCAAAACCACTAAAAATACAAATAAATATCATGAATATAAAAGGACAAGAAGAAATACAGAAATACAGAAGAAATACTTTTACCAATTTTTGTCAGCATAAAAATTAGAAAACAATCCTTACAATGAAAACTGTATACAACAGGGGTTTTCAAAGTATGAAAGGATGAGCCCCCCTCTAGGGAGCACTATGCCTGCTGCGCCACCCCCCACACACACACACGAACAAATGCCACTACAAAACACCTTGTACTTGCTTTTATTTTAGAACCATCTCATCTTTTAAAATGACACTTTATGTGAATGAAATTTAACACATGAACATTTTAAAACATTTCCTCCCATTTTTATTATTTTATCGGGGCCTTTGTATGGCAAATACGCCCTTTTTTCCTTTTTTTTTAATGATAAGAACAACCCCAAACTCACTTTTCAACTGTTTTCTCAAACAAACAAACGTTACATCTGAGAATTGTAGTTTAATGTTTGGTCAAACTTTCTCTTTTTTCTACTTATGCTAGAGCTTGTCTCCCCTGCCTTTTTCTTTACTAAAAATGTGTCCATTCTTTCTCTCACATCAGTAGACAGCAAGCAGATGGCTTCTTTTCCGGTTTATTTTTTCCCTCGCACCGCGCCTGCCCTAAAGTGCTCTAGCGCCTCACACTTTGAAAACCGCCAGTATACAATATTAGTTAGGACAGAATAATGAACTTCCACTGTTACTATCTACTGTTTACCTGATTTTAGAATAGTTCTGATTATTAACAGAGGAAAGAGTACATTTAACGAAAGAAGGAGTAGTGATACTTTACAAGAGTATTACTCATGTAAAAGTTAGAAGTATGTAACAGTAAAACTGCTCCTTAAAGTACATTATACTTCTTCTATACTTCTACTACTCACCTCTGCAGGTGAGACATTAACAAAAACAAGTATACTGTGTATATTGTATATAACCCATGCACCTTTTTCTTCTTTTGGCACCTTCTTCTTCTCCTTTCACTATTAGAGCTGATGTAACGAGTAAATTCCTTCACTGTTAGATCAATAAAGTCAATCATTTAATCAATAGATGTGCTCAAAGTGTCCTCTAAGGCTGATAAAGTTCAAATATTTCATTGGAGATGCTGGAACTGAATGTTTTCAGCTGTTAAGATGCTAACAAGGAGATCAAACTTCAATTCCAGGAGTAAATAAGGAGACCCACAGATGTATTAACAGCAGGAAGCTCTAAGTAACATTTAAAACTAATGTTGCAGGAGGAAGGAGCCTCCCTGAGCTCCATCCATCTCATCGGAGTCAGCCTGGGAGCTCACCTGGCTGGATTCGTTGGAGCGAACCTGAAGAGGACAATTGGTCGCATCACAGGTAGAAAACAATTAAAATGCTATTGATAAGGAGAGGTATTTATAATCAGAATTAAGAATCATGGTTTTAAATTTCAATTTAGAATTTGAAAATACATTTTCAAATAAAAATAATAAAAACTACAATTACTCTATAAGAATTCTGTTTAACGTATCCAATAACAAACATATAAAACCAAACACATAAAAAGCAATTTTCAAATCTGATTTCTAATCATATGAATTAAATGTAAAATATAAATGTTTATTTTCTCCTGACCCTCAATAGCGCTGTGGTTGAGGGTTACCCCTCCTAAGAAAAAAGTGCCTCCTAACAAACAGTCAAAGTTATAACTAACACCATTAGAATCAGAATCAGAATCAGAATCGGGTTTATTGCCATTGTTAGTGAAGGAGTTCACAACTAGGAATTTTTTATGGTACAATCGTGCAACATGAAACATATATGAAATAGTAAATAAAATTATAAAAATCTCTAAAAACACTGCTGTATAAGGCATGCAAAAAAATATACTAATATATACACTTAGGATAAAAATATGGATAAAAAAAATATATATATATAAAAAGTAAAATGTACAAGGTAGTGTAGGTAGGTTATGAGTTAAATATTGCTCTGTAGAGCCTGGCTGCATGCTGGTGACAAAGACTAGCTATTTGATACATGCTGAAGGAACCACCACTCCTCAAGCATTTCATCTAAGACCACTTGATTAAATCAAAGTATTCTTAAAGTGGCCTAGTTAAAGTCTTTACTCAATTAGGAATGTCTGACATGCTAGTTTGCATCCATGCAATGTGACTAAAAAATGTTTAGCAGAGGAGAATTTAAGCTGGTAGAGACACCAACCAGGAGTCTGATGCTGAGAATGTATTCATTCAGAGAGGCTGAACATAAATATACAGTATTTAGGATCGTTATCAGTATTTAAGATTTTCATTTTGAAAGATTTTTGATATAAGAAATATTTTTCTACCCAATTAATAATTCTGCAGTATTTTGCTGCAAACTTCTGGACTTAATACTGTTGTTTTTACCTTACATTAGAACTGGGGGGGATATATTGATATCAAGGAAAGAGAAAATAAGAAAATTCATTTTATAATGACAGCTGCTTTAAAACCCCAAAATAGAGTTCTTATGAAGACAAATTTGTTCAGGTACTACTGAAAGCAAAGAATATGTTTCAAATAATAATGCATTGAAAAAAATAAACTTCAAAAACTTCTCAAATATAAATGTATTTTAAAAAATATTAACCTTTATTAAGTGGGCAAACGCTCAACCAATATTTTATATTTTGCTATTTTTCAGATGTTTTTTTTCTAAATGTAGTTTTTTTCCCCCAAATTCCTTTTGTCTGATTTATTTTTTCCTTTTTTCAGATATAAAAAAAGAGAGAGAGAGACAGATTTACAATTGCATCTTATACTAATCCAGTTTTACAGATTTCACCCGCTTTCTCTTGTGGATGGAACAGCTTTGCTTTCCGTCTGTGCAGAAAACCAGTAGAAATCAGTTTGCTCTGCATGGATGTAGAGGATCAAATCTATAAAATTAAACCCTATTGTGCATGTATTTATGTATTACAATAGAAATTGGTCTTAAAATCTTTTTATAGATGATTTTTTCTTGGGTTCAAATTTTTAAAACTTCAAAATGTCCTTTCTTTGTTTTTTATAATATTGGAAAAAATGTCTCACCATAAGTTCCTATTCTAAGTAAATGTCTGATATGCAGGAGAGCTACTGTACGTTTCAGATGATCAGATGATTCTGTGTTACAGGGCTGGACCCAGCTGGGCCGATGTTCACCAGCGCCACACCAGAGGGGAGGCTGGACCCCTCTGACGCCATGTTTGTGGACGTTCTGCACACCGACATGAACTGTGAGTCCAGATTCTGACAGTTTGCTCTTCTTATTGAAGGAGAGTTTTTTCTGTGCTTAGATCCTATGACAGAAAATAGAAATAAACTGGTGAAGATTCTCAGTCATGTAGATCATAGTCATTCCAAAAAAGTAAAAAAAAAAAAACATGTTTTTTTTTTTTAGAAAAAATATATAACATTGTTTCAATTTTTATGTTTTCTAAACAAAAATAAGGCTTTGTTGGGCTACTGTATAAATCCTCAAACTCAAAGCTATTTCTGACATTTTGAATTGAAAAAGCTTCCTGGATGGGAAGCGAAACGTCTTCAAACTTGGAAACAAAGTCCACTGGATTGTTTTTAACTTTTTTGGAACAACACAAATATGCTTTTCATCCAGTTTCTGTCCCACATTAATCTGTTGTTGCTAATTTTTAAATAAAATAAATAATAAGTGGTAGGTACATCCTTAAGTGAGGCGATCATGTGAATATAAACAGTCCGAATGAGAGCAGTTTTTCCTTTAACAGCTTTCGGACTCCGAGGAGCTCATGGTCACATTGATTTCTACGCCAACGGTGGAACTGACCAACCAGGATGCCCCAAAACCATCTTCTCAGGTAATCACCTCCCAGCTCCAACACCCATCCTTACACAGTTACCAAGTTTTTTTCTGCACAGCTCAGTTCCATCTCCTTCTCCTGCAGGTAAATCTTACTTTGTGTGCGACCACCAGCGCTCTGTGTTTCTGTACCTGTGCTCCCTGAACCGAACCTGCCACCTCACCGGGTACCCCTGCTCCTCATACAGCCGCTTCCTGGACGGACAGTGCCTGCAGTGTGAGGCCTTCAAACCTGCCTCCTGTCCTGTGCTCGGTACGTCCAAACCAACATAAATCCCCGACTAACTGGTGATGGCTGAGAAACCGGCCACTTTATTAGGTACCCCATGCTAGTAATGGGTTGGACCCCCTTTTGCCTTCAGAA